TATATAATATATAATAGTGTATATATTGCATACATACACTATATTAATATATAGTATATAAATATCAATATATACTATATATAAATATGTAATATAGAATATATTATATAGAATATATTATATAGAATATATTATATAGAATATATTATATTATATTATATTATATTATATTATATTATATTATATTATATTATATTATATTATATTATTTATAGTAATATTAATATATTGATGGTAATGTAAATTTATTATTGTTAATATTTGTATATATTAATATATATTATGTATTATATATTGTATATAATATATTATATATAATGTATAATAGATATATTTATTACAATAATATCTATTAATATATATTGTATGCTATATATAATATGTAATATATATAATATATAATATATAATATATAGTATATATTTTTATAGATCGTATATAATATATTAATATATTATATATATATATTTTTATATATATATAATAATATAATTATATATAATATAATAAAATAATAAATCAGCCTTCTGAAACACAGAGTCAAGATTCGCTCTCTTCCCTGGAGACCCCCAAACATATAATATAAAATTATTCTTCCCTGCTCCTGGAGACCCTCAAACACCACCACAGCCTGCTCCTAAAAATTCTCTCCCTCAATGCTTCCACTTTGTCCTCTTGGCTTGCAGCCCCTCCTCTCCAAGTGCTGAGCTGTGCAAGTGCAGCGCACAAACCACGCGGATTTCCAGGAATTCCTGACTTTTCTCTCTCTCTTTTCCAGCCTGAGACCGCAGCCGTGCTCAAGCGCACCGTGGAGGCTCTGATGGAGAGAGGAGCCATCGTGAGGAGCCTGGAGAACCTGGGGGAGAGGTCCCTGCCCTACAAAATCACCAAGCACAAGGAGCGCCACAAGAGAGGGGGGTACGTGGTGACACCTCCTCCCTCATCCTGTCCCTGCTGCTCCTGGAGCAGGGACACCAGGACCGGCCCTTGGGGATGTTTGGGTTGCAGGTGGCACCTGGGAGGGCTCTCAGCAAGGAGCTGGGTGTGTTGTCTGTGTGTTGGGTGTGTTTTATTCTGAGTGCTGTCCGTTTTGTGGTGGTTTTCAGTGGCGTTTGCACTGCAGAACTTTCCCCAACATAAACAATATTATTATTTTTTAAATGACTATTTTTAGGCTGTTTTCTGATAAAGCTCAGCCTAATCTCCTAGTTGGCAGGATGGGATCCTTTCCTCCAATGTTAATAATTAACATTAAAGTGCCCTGTAAGGCTTGGTTGTGTTTCTGATGCAGTTTTGGGATTTGATGAAGTCAGGAATCATGGAATAGTTTGGGCTGGGAGGGATTTTAGGGATCTTCCAGTGCCACCCTTGCCATGGCAGGGACACCTCCCACTGTCCTCAGTGTCCAGCCTGGCCTTGGGCACTGCCAGGGATGCAGGGGCAGCCCCAGCTGCTCTGGGCACCCTGNCAGGAATTACATTTGGGGAGTTGATCAGGAATTCTCATCCAGAAATTTCTGAATTCATCAGGAATTCTCACCCAGGAATTGCATTTAGGGGAGTTGATCAGTAATTCTTATCCAGGAATTACATTTTGGGGAATTGATCAGTAATTATCATCCAGAAATTGCAATTTGGAGAGTTCATCAGTAATTATCATCCAAAATTTGCATTTTAAGGAGTTGATCAGGAATTCTCACCCAGGAATTGCATTTTGTGGAGTTCATCAGGAATTATCACCTAGGAATTGCATTTGGAGAGTTGATCAGGAATTCTTACCCAGAAATTGCATTTTGGGGAGTTTATCAGGAATTGCATTTGGGGAATTGATCAGGAATTCTCATCCAGGAATTTCTGAGTTGATCAGGAATTCTCAGCCAGGAATTGCATTCTGGGGAGTTGATCAGGAATTATCATCCAAAAATTGCATTTTGCGGAGCTGATTGGGAATTCTCATCCAGGAATTGCATTTGGGGAGTTTATCAGGAATTATCACCTAATTTGGGGTGTTCATCAAGAATTATCACCAGGAATTGAATCTGGAGAATTGATCAGGAATTGTCATCCAAAAATTGCATTTTGGGCAGTTGATCAGGAATTCTCATCCAGTTTGGGGTGTTCGTCAGGAATTANCAGAGCAAGGTGACAACTTGTGGGCCACTGGTGTGGCCCCAGGTCCCTGCCAAGGCTGCCCAGGGGTGAGAGCAGTTGGGAATGGCTCTGCTTTGCCCTGGGGGCAGGAGGGGTGTCCAGAGCTGCAATTCCAAACCAGGCTGTCCTGCTCTTGAGAGCTCTTCCTCATCCCTTCTGCAGCAGCAGCTCCTTTGGCTCCTCTTCCTTCCCCAGGGCTCTGGGACTGGAATTGGTGCTGGGCTGTGGGACTGGAATTAGAGCTGGGCTCTGAGACTGGAATCAGTGCTGGGCTGAGGGACTGGAATTAGTGCTGGGTTGGGGGATTGGAATTAGTGCTGGGCTGTAGGACTGGAATTAGTGCTGGGCTCTGGGACTGGAATTAGAACTGGGCTCTGGGACTGGAATTAGAACTGGGCTGTGGAGCTGGAATTGGTGCTAGGCTGGGGGACTGGAATTAGAGCTGGGCTGTTCAGGAAAAAATGTTGTGGCTCCTGAGCTGGGAGCCAGGCAGGCCCCATTTCCTCTGTCCCCAAGAGGGCTGGCTCTGAGGCAAACCAAGGAACCTGTGTCTGTGGATCTCTTGGTTAGCAGAGTTCAGCTTATTTTTAGTTTGGGTGATGGCTTTAGGCAAGCCAGGGTAAACCATGGCAATTTTGGGATAGGGAGAATGAGAGGGATTATAGTGACAAGCTTTCCAACCCAACAATTAGTTGATGTTTTCAGAGTATGGCCACAAGTGGGGAAGGTTGCAAATTTTACAATCCTGAATGTAGAAATCTGTGGCTTTCTTTTCTTGTTCTTTCTCTCTGGTTTTGTTTTTAAATACATGGGGCTCAAATCTTTGGCTTGATTGTGTTCAGAAACTGCACCTCAAGTAGGCCTTGCAGCACCCAGGGAATGTGCTGATCCCTGGGCATGTGGAAAAGAGACAAAAAACCTCTGTGACACTGGGGGGTGAGGGATGGAGGGCAGGGAGCTTACCCAACAATATTTTAGTGGATTTCATTGAAATCTGCATGGAGCTTAGAAGGGTTTGTCATTGCTCTCCACAGCTCCCTGCAATGAGGTTGTGGAAGGGTTGCCAGAGCTGCAGGAGCCCTTGGACACCCCTGCAGGGACAGAATGGGATTGTTGGGGTTTGATTGTGCAGGGCCTGTGGGTCCCTTCCAGCCCAGGATATCCCATGGTTCCCTAAGTGTTACATGCAGTGTAAATAAGGATGTAAATTATATATAATTCATAGATAATGGTGCTAATTGCTGTCTCCATACCAAACCATGGATTTGTGTTTCCCCACACTGATCACTTGAAATATTAATGAACAACAACAGTGCAAGGACCCCAAATCTGTTCCAAATCCATCATTTTCCTTTGCTAGGAATATTGATTTGTGCAAGGCTCAGAGCAAGTGATTCCAGGTGAGTCAAATCCATGAACTCATCTTTTTGCTGGGGCCTGACTTGGAAATGGCAGGAAACGTTCCTGGGGAATTGCTTGCTGTCACTGATATATTTTTTANGGGCACAGCTGGCACTGCATGGGCTTGGAAATCTTTTCCAAACCCAGGGATTTGGGGATTCTCTAATTCTGGGAAATTGGCTGATTTTCCATTTCAGCTCCTTCCAGTGCTGGGACAGGGACCCCAGCTGACCATGGGGACATCCCAGCCCCTGTGCTGTGCCCAGTCTGTAAAACTGGGGAACAATGGGGAAGAAGGGGGCATATTCCTTCCATGTCTTTTTTCCTTTGCATTTCATTATTTTTCCTTTCCACTCTTAATTAAGCTTAATGAACATACCAAGTAAATTGCTGAAATATATTCACATCAGAAAGTCATGGCAGAAACACAACTTGGAGCTCCTGGGGAGCTTTTTCTCAGCAACTTCCTGATAAGGACAATTTTGAAGCCCTTATTAGAATGTGTTGAGGTTGGAAGAAGAGTTGAATTTTCTGGAGTTTCAGGGAAGGTGTTTAATTAATTCTGAAGTTTAACTGATTCTGAATTGATTCTGCCTGGAAAGTTGAGGACTCTCCATCCCTGGCAGTGCCCAAGGCCTGGTTGGACAGGGCTTGGAGCAGCTTGGGACAGTGGAAGGTATCCCTGCCATGGCACTGGATGATCCCTAAATCCCTTCCAACCCTTCTGTGACATTGTGGGCAATTGTTACTTGAACTGTTTCCAGTAATAAATCATTGAAATCACCCTAAATCATGGAGGATTTGCGTGCTGTTAATTTCAGATTTTAAAGGCACCTTTTTAGGCTTCTTTTTAGAAATTCTCAAGGCTTTCAGCTCTCTAAAATGAATTAAATTCAGTGCTGGGATTGATGTTTTAATTTAACTATGGGTTGGTATTTATAGAATACTTGTATTCCTTAGATTTTAGTTTAATTTCTTCTATAATCTCCTTTGATTTTAAACAATTTGTTAAAAATTTACAAAAAATTCATCATATAATGTCGATTCTTTGAAGAAGGTGGATTTGGGAACAGAAGAGTTCAGGCATCACTTTGAGTTTAAAAGTTGCTGCTTCCTCTGCATCCAGGCCCGTGGGCTTCGTGTTCATATCTGGTTCTTTGCCTTACCCACCACCCAATGCTAATTAAAGTCTGGTTTGAGGATGGGGTGCTCATTTTAATTCAGAAGTAATTTTGATCACTTCCCCCAAGTTATTTTTGGTGATGTGCCCGCTGTAACTTTCTGTGTGCCATTTCTGGAATGGTCTCTCCTGCTCCTGTGGTCGCTCACTGTGGGCTGGGAACATGGCAAGGTTGGCATGGTCAGGAGCACCTGAGGTTTTCCCATTTGTCCTTTTTCTGTCTTGGGGAAATGGTTCTGTTGTAGATACAGAAACTTCTGTCCCTGCATCCTGCTGGCCCTAAAATCATCCAGGGGCTCCACGAAAGGTCTGGGAATGTTGGGATGAGTCCAGAGGGGCTGGAGCCANATGGAGCAGATCCATCTCTCCCCACCCCAGCACTCCCAAATCCTCCCAGAGAGCTTTGAGCAAACCCCTCCTGCCTGCAGAGCCCCCAGGGCAGGTGGATTTTGTGTGCTGAGTAAAGCAAGGCTTTAGTAACCAATCATTGCAACCTTCAGGCAGGAAAGATCAAAGCCTCCTCCTCTTCCTCCTCCTCCTCCTCCTCCTCCTCCCAGCTCAGATGTCCCCAGATATTTCCCAGTCCCTGTTCCTGCCCCCCCTGGATGTGGCAGGATCCAGATCTCTGCTTTGCTGCAGGACAAGGTTTGGGTGCCTCTCTTTGGGATCTCCCACCCAGAGCTGGCACTGGCAGCGCTGGGAATTCCTGAGGATTGGGGATTTTCCTGTGGGATTCCTGGAGATTTTCCTGTAGTGTTTTGCAGCTCCATGGACAGGCAGGGTGGGTTCCTGCTGGACCATGCAGTATTTTATACTGGAAAAGAAAACATTCAGGAAATCAAACATTATCCATCAATAGGAAGTGATAGATCAGTTTTGGAGCCACCTTATAAAATCAGCCAGTCCTACTTTACAGCAGCTGTAAAAATATATATATTTTGTTTTCAATAGGACAAAATTAAAAAGAAAATAAACAACTTTTCCAGACACCTCCCTAAGCTCCTGGACTTTCCATAAAATCTTGGAATTTTTTCTCTTCCCCAGGCAATTTCTAATTCTCCTGTGTCCCTTCTGGAGCATGTTGGTGTGGAGTGGGACATTGGATAATCCAGAATATTCCAATTTTCCTTAGTCTTGGTTTAGTCTGAATTATCTTAAGAGGCTTCTGTGAGAATTCTCATGAGTGT